CAACTTTAAAAACTTGTCTAACCTCTATGACTCAGTTCCCTAATCTACAAAATGAGGGTAATATTTGATAGGCAGGATCATTCTGCAGATTAAGTAAAACTGCATGAATGAATGAGACAAGTATAATTCCTGACTCACAGCGGGCCCTTAGGAAACTATTCCTTCTCCTTTATTTGTAAGTTATATTTCTCAGAATACAGACATATACATAGGCAATGCATTTGATATAGACCCACAACGCTTAGTAAAGACACATACTGTGAAGAGATTCTGAAATTAAATTAGAGACAGTTCTGTGGACTTGTTTGTCATATTTGTTCAGGGTCACAGGAGCAAAGCCAAAGTAATTAAATCTCTTAACAATTTAGTAATATAAAGGTCCTGGCCATCAGCGTGATTATTCTGTTCCAGGGAAGAAAGAAGACAGGTCTATTTGTAGTGTCCCATGCTCAATGGTGAATATTAAATGAATTAGGACCAGAACTGATCAAAGGAGCAAACAGCTGATGACTGCTGTTGTATGAAAAGAGTGGATGTTCACGCAGGTTAAAGTGGCCAGGAAGGCCCCTCAGTGAAGGCCCGGGTCTTTTTCTCCCTTTAAACTTGTTTTCAATGGTCTTTAGTCTGTGATTATTTAAATATTCATTTATTTCAGAGGCCTTTTTGTGCAAATTTGTTTAAAACCCAATCACGTTCTTATTAAATTGGGCTAAAAACTGCTTTCACAAGAAGAAACAAACTACAATATTTCATCTATAAAGTTTGACTTTGAATGACTATGTAGGCAATTCATTCAATTATAATTATAAAATATAGTCAGAAAATGATCCAGGCTGGAACCATGGAAGGTCATGAAGCCTCATAGATTTATGTATGATTATTGATTTCTAGGGTAGAGAAGGGCTGTGATATGCAGTGGAAGACATAGAGAATCTGCTGTTTTACTTATTCAATAATTCTGTCTTGCAGTTTTCCCCACATACATTTTGCATTGATTTGTTTGTTATCCAATATAACTAGAGTGATTGTACTTTTGCAATTGTATCTCTAATTGGTGACCCAGTTGCATTTTATAATCTGGCTAGAAATATAGGGATAATTAGCATATATCTTTCCTTTGGCCTTTCAAAGGGGTATTATAATCACTAAATTTAAATTCCAGTGGTGAACCACAAAGGGTGGAATCCTCCCGACTAATTATAAAATAAACCCTTTTTTGCTTATTCTGAGAGTTGAGCACAGCATGGGGCTGGCATAGACCTAAAAGTGAGAGATTATTCAATTCCGACCACACTGGCACCCACCCCACACACCGGAGATGTTCCTGAAGTTTCCTTTGTAATATATCTTAAGAGAAAGGACTTCATACAGTTCGACAAACTAGAAGACTGGTTTGTTTCCTACAAAGAAAATCTAAGAAGACAGAAAAGGTTGTGGCTCTGTGAAAACCATATGGGAAAATGTTGGAAATTCTATATTCCCACAGGATAGCTTTGGTAGATAAACGTGTCAGAAGACATCGGAAAGGGCTCTGGTCCCAGGCATGGCAAATATCACCAAAGTGGTAAACTGCTAGAGACGAAGAGTCAGGGAGAGTGTTTTGGAAGCCACAGCGGCTGGGCTGGGTGTCCCCAGCACAAGGCTGAAGCACTGACTTTCTATTAAAGAAGAAGAGAGGTACTAATGGGACCTTACTTGCACAAGACTTTAGGAAGCCCGAGTACCTGTCCCGTCCCTTCTCCCAGTTAAAAGGTGACTGGTTCTCACAAAACAACTTGGATTCCATTACCGCACAAGTCCTACCTTGGGAGATCACTGAATCACATTACTCCAAGTCAGTGTCCATGGGTGATATCCAAAGAGATGTTAGTGCAGTCAAAGCAATCATGAAACACAGCATAGATGCAATGTCCTTCCCTTGGAGGGAACGCTGGGAAGCAAAGCCTTCAAGGGAGACTGCAGTAAACTGTGCGTTGAACACTACCGGGCCCAGTGTTTCCAAAATATAATTGGGTGCAGAATGCATTGTTTGCCACATCTCTTTGCCACTTTAAGAGGGAAATGAATTTGGGAAACACAGATGTGTCAGTTAGGATGCTTTCAGCAACTAATAATAGGAAACCCAAAGAAAATGGCTTCACCACATAGGGTTTTATTTGAATCAATGCTGAAAAGTCAGGAAGGAGGTGATGCTGTCACTGCTTCAGGGACGTCAGTGGGTCCCTGGTGTCAGGGCCAGTGACTCCAGGATTTGGGGGCAGTCAGCATTTCTGGTTTTCATCAAGAATTCAGAAACTACCCAGCAGACTTCCAGTCATCCCTGACTCCGAGGGAGCTGGAAGAGCTGCTGAGGTGCAGCCGGTGAAGAGGAAGGGGCTTGGCTGGGGATGCTGGCTTCGCCACCCGACAGTGTCCTCCTGGACAGAATTACCTGAGGGACTCTGCATTGTGATTTCATGCTTTTGGCTTCCACTCAGAGATACGGCAGGGACCAGTTGTATGGGGGAGCACTGTGCTCACGAAGGGTTGAAGGTGAAGAATGTGCTAAGACCCACATGAGAGCCCTCCTCAGGCCCAGCGCTGTCTGCCTCCTCCTCTCGCCACACTCGCCCCACAGCAGTGTTCACCCACATCCCAAGGTGTGGTTCTACTTTGGCCCACACACTGCACTCGTGGTGCTGCAGTTGTCTGCAAAGCTATGTGACATTGTCTACCTGCGCCACAGGACTGGGTCAGGCTCCCACTCTAAGATCCGGTGACCTCTCTGTTTCCTTCTGAGCCTTTTTCACTCATTTCAAACGTTTCCCCAGCAGACCTAAGTTTTGCAAATGAAACCTCAATGGAAGGTTTTGGGGTTCTACCTGTTTTAAGTGCTATACGTATACGTACTTCCTCTGAGAGATGCATAATCTTTTGCTATGAAAGGGGAAGATAGAGGCAGAAATTATAAATTAGTATCACAAAGACTACCTCGCTGCAATGCAACTTTACACAATAAACTGCTAAATCACAAATCAAGAGGTTCAATCCTGAGTGTCTCCTGATAGGTTGCAAGTTGTACCCAGCTGACAAACACGGTTCAAGGACCCCTCTGTCCCTCGCCCTTTGCCGCATTTTTGCTCCGCAAGCCACACCCATCTCCGACTCCTGCACCGTAACTGCTCCTCTCAGCTGCTGCACTGCTGCTGTACAGGACCACTCTTCAGTGTAAATACCGAATAGTTTCTCTGGTGTGAGAAACTGAAAGTGTAAATAAGGACTAAATGTATAATAGGTCATGTGAAATAGGAAGAAAAGGGGCAAAGGGGAAGGAAGTGGGAGGGCTAAGGGAAAGGATAGAAGGGAATGGGATTAATATGAGAAAATGGAAAAATAGGAACAAAATCTTTGTAAATAGGGAGGAATGGAGGGGTTGAAGGGAGGGCTGGGCAAGGGTGAAAAACAAGAACCAAGAGAGACTATGTAAAGGTGCAAATTTCCAATGATGAATGTCATTATATTGTATACCTAAAATGCACCAATTATTAGAATGAATAATCGATAATGCAAACTAGGAAGAAAAGAAAAGGTCCAAAGGGGTAGGGGTAGTGGGAGGGGCAGGGGAAAGGAAAGAAGGGAAAGGAAAAAATGATGAGAAATGGAAAAAATGGAAATAAAGTCTTTGTAAATAGGGAAGGGTGGAGGGCATGAAGGGAGGGCTAGGAATGGGGAAAAAATAAGAACCAAGATGCATTACATAAAGGTACAATTCCCAATGAGAAATGTAATTGTGTTGTATACCTACAATGTACCAATAAAAGAATTTAATACAAAAAAAAAAAAGAAGCAGAGCTCCTGCTCTGTCCTCATTGGGGCCCTGCCTGCGGTCGCTGTCTGCATTTAGCCAAGAACTTCAGAGGCGTCATACAATCTTCAGTGGAATTAGCTCTCGCCAGCCCTTCCAGTTTCCGTATTCTTTTCCAAGTGGTCCCTCGCTGCTTGATCTTTTGGAGAGGCTCTGCTCTCACTGCAGTGAGTCCCAGCAGCCAACAGTGAAGCTCACCAGTGTCTGATTTCTGCCCACCGAGTTCCCGGAGACTGCTTGGCTGACAGACACAGCCTGTGCCGATGGCAGGGCCTTGGAGGCCTCCGCAGGCAGCTCCAGGGGCCACGCCTTCACGGTGAGGCTGTGCCCAGGGCAGAGAACCGCACCTGCAGCCCCACACTCCCACCTTCTGGCCTTAACAGGATTACTTAATGAAGGTTAGGGTGGTGGGGCACCTGGACTATGGGTGAGATTTACATTTACTGCTCTTTAAAATACTTTTATAAAATTAACAGTTCGTAATAATCCCCAAATTGGAGTCAGATAATTTTAATACAACCTGAAATTAAAGTACAATTGTTTAGACAACAATAAGGATGAGTTTCCAAGTCAGGCACCAGACTGAAACTTCAAAAATAAAGAGAACTGTAAACAGTTATAAAATATGAACACTTATGAACGCTTCTTAGCACAAAGCCATTCAAAGTTTGGCCATGAACTATTTGTGATCCATCCAAAGTTGGGCGCGGGGTGGCAGGATAAAAATCAATTACATCTCTCACCACACCGGGTCCGCTGTTTTTCAGAATAAGAAAAATACTGACTTTTATTCTGGCCCGATCACCTTGTCTCGTTCCAGTCTGGAGAACAGCACCACTTCCTCTAAAGTGTTCTTCCAACCTCACTGCTCAGAGTCAGGTTAACTGACAGTAGGGACAATCCTCAAAACAACAGTTGTGATGGCCATCATCCATCTATCCGCGTCCCACAGGCCCCGACTCTACCAAAGAGCAATTACGTTCTGGCAGAGCACCCCGCGCAGCGGCTCTCCTCAGAGGAGCTTCCGTGTTCCAACAGCTGCTCCCTCAGAGGGCCCTCCGGAGTCCTCTGTAGTCAGGTGGGTCACGTTTTTCATAGCCATTTTGTTTTCAAACTTGGGAGGAAACGGGTAAGAATAGAGTCATTTGCTAATAAATTCTCTTGAAGGGTTGGTTTATTGTCACATTTCAGTCAGTGAAAATATTTAAATTCATCTTTCTCAAAAGATGGTTTTTATATCCTTTGTGCTTTCTTATTCTGCTAGTTGCTTTCTTTATAATAAAACAATATTACTTCTGTGGAAATTTATACAATTCTGTATTCCATTAACTAAGGGGAAACATGTAAACTGTTTTAAGATTCCTCAGAGGAAAAAAAAAGAGACTATAAAATGATTTTTAAGAAGTAGCTTATATTTCCAAATTCAATCATTCTTCATTTTTATTGTTTCTTATGACATAATTCCTGTAAAAATTTAAAAATATAACAATGGTCTTTTAGAAAAGTAATCATTTCCTCATTCTCTACTGACTTGCTAAGGTTTACTTGCATTACTTAATACTGAAGGCAAATAATAAAAAATTGAGAAAGAACTCATCAGTTGTAGACATACAAGAGCTCACTTTAGCTGCAGTGTCTACTGAACCAACAAACCACTTCTTAAAGAACCTATTTATACATTTCTTATTCACGAAGAGAGCTCCTTTGTCACCTGAGTTGAGCACAATATTGTAGAGCAAAGATTGCCTAAAAAATCATTTAAAGACTGTATCTGTCTATCTATACATATATACCTACACATATACATATACACAAATGTGCACACAGTAGAAACAACTTTTCCTTTGTGCTGAAGGTGTCACAAGAATTTGCCACTTAGTCAAAATAAGCCATGATTATTAAATAATAAAGTTATCTGACGAATTTGAAGTCATCAAAATTTCTAGAATGTACAGGTCTATAGAGTAATATCTAACTCCTAGGGAAATCTGAGGCTGCTTTTGCTTTGTTAATGTATAACATGCAGTTTGACGTAATCATGTGGTCATGAGATCACTGTTACCTTTACACCACATTGTAATGAACTTTTCCATGATTGCCAGGTAGAAATCCATCAAAGACAACCCATTCGGGACTGAACTAGTTACTGGCCACAGCCTAGGCCTCCCGCTCTCTCTGACCCGACTTGTGCTGCTCCCAGCAAAGACCCCTTTACTAAAGGCTCTGTGCTCACCAGGAATTTCACGAAAGAACTTCTCCAGTCAGGTCGGCCTTGCTTCTGTGGATAGTGGCGTTGTGGGTTTTTTATGCACTTTAGAGCTCTGTATTCTAAGCCTTAGGAAACATCTAAAACTGAATAAGCTGCCTGAGTCTATCAACATTTTCTTTTATGCTCAATTAATACATCTGGCTAAAAATCGATCATGTTTAGTTTCACCTGAGTGTCTTGTACTCTAGAAATCCCAGAGGCTGAAGAACCTCCAGAGGTTCTTGCATACCTTGAGTTCTCCACCTTCCAGACCTCTTTAGATCTGAAGCATGTTAAGAACAGCCCAAAGACAGCAGAGTTAAAAATGAAGACATGCCACAGTGTTCAGAGAAATCTCTGTCCGTCTTCCAGCTCCCTCTGGGTTAAAGAATCTCTTTCACATAGCAAATCACATACAATAGAAATCTAAAGGCAGCTTTAAAATATTTGTAATGGAAAAACATTTTCAGTTGTAAAGTGTCCCTGGGGCATCGGTATTTTGGCTTAAAACTGATACTGTTTTCCTAAATAAATTAAGTCAGCAGAGTCGGCGTATAGGGCTCACCTTAGGGACAGAATTTACTCAGTCCAAATGTCTTCATTTTGCTCAGTTTACAACAATATAACTCAAACCACTTTTTTTCTGATATGTAAAAAAAATTTTAAAGTTCATCTGAACTTGAATTTATTCATTAACATGTGAACTCACATGTATAATTTTAATTCTTTTGTCATACATTTAAATATTTTTCTCTATGGAGATATCTCAAGACAGGAAATAATATTATGCTAGCACTAAAAATTTTGCATTAAAACACTTTCTTAAATTTTTCTATGCAAAAGTGCATTTACAATATAAACATATCGTATATGAAGCTACAACCCACAATCTCACTGGAGTGGATTTCAAATTTCAAAGTAAGTCCAAATGAGTCAGAGAGAAAAGTGCTAACACAGCAAATCGGAAACAAGTTCATGCGGACTGGGCAAAGAGTCATCGAAGCGAAATCTTTTGGAAACCATGCTGCCTTCCTCAGGGATGTTCTCTTTGTCTTCCCGGTCACCACAGGTTCCATTACAAGAGGATTTCGAAGTCTTATCTTCCGAGGACCTCACTGGATGATCCTGAACGGGAGAGGGACTGGAAGTTTCTTCAGGGTGAAACAAGCTTCCAAAATCCCACTGCTGCAGCCAAGAGTGAGCAAGGCAGGTTTCCGCACTGGGTCTTTTCCTTTGAAAGAAAGCACCAAGAGAAAACTGAACATTAAAGTCAAGGTGAAAATGTCTTCAGTTTGACAGAGTATAGACATCTTTTTAATTATTATGAAAATAATTTATACTCATAATATAACATCCAAATAGTGTAGGAGAGACTAGCACCTAAGAGCGATAATAGCAGCTAACATTTATTGAATGCTTAGCTTTATGCCAGGTATTCTATGTATATGTTTCCAATATATTATAATCATGAGAAACCTATGCAGTAGGTATTATTATTCTCGTTTATGACAAAAAGGAAGGATACCAAGAGATCTGAGTGTTCCCCAATTCTCCCACTAGTAAATGGCACATGCTATAGTTGGGATCTTGTAGTTCCCCAAGGCCCCTGTGTTACATGCTGGCCACCAGCCCATGGCACTATTGGAAGTGGGTGGAGTCTGTAGGAGGTGGGGCCTAGTGGAAGGAAGTTAGATCATTGCCAATGTGCCCCACATGTTCCTTTCTCTCTGGCTTCCCTGCAGCCATGAGGTGAGCAGCTTTGCTCCAACACCACGTTCTGCTTCCCACAAGCCAAAATAAGGGAGCAAGTAACCATGGATCAAAACTGTCAGCCACAGAGAGCTTTCCTCCTTTTAAGTTGATTTTCCAGGTATTCTGTCATAATCTAACACTAACATAGAAAATGGGTACCAAGAAGGGGATTATTGCTGTGATATGATCACACCTGACGATATGGTTCAGAAATTTTGGAATTTGTTTGCAGGAGGAAATTGGCAATGTGTGGAGAAATAAGCTAGGAAAAGCACAGAATGTTCTGAGCAGGGCCACTGGGTAGCCTTGGATGGGGTTGAGACAATCCAAATGCTGATATGAATGTGGACGGTAAAGGCTTTGCTGATGAGGTTTTAGGTGGAAAGGACTTCATTAGACCACTATGTCACATTCTGGCAAAGAGCCCATCAGTATTTTGTCTATGCACGAGACTCTGTGGCTGGCTGAATTTAGAGGTGACAGACTAATCTGGAAGCACAGCATTCAGGCCATGGCATGGTTATCACTGGCTGCTTTAAGCCAGATTTAGTGAGAAAGAAAGGAGTAAAGAGAAGCAACAAGGAAAATTTTGGAAAACTTATGCAATGACCAGAAAGCACGGGTAAAGTTCTGGCTAAAGAAGGTGCAGTTGGCTAAGATTAGCACCCTTAAAAAGAAGCCAGGTACTCTCCAGTGGGGCAATAGGAAAGATGCAGGCTCAAAGATAAACAAGTGTGAACTCATTCAAAGACTTGGTTCCAAAGGCTGGGGCACCCTGCTCACACAAGGACGCCTTTGGAACTGTTTTCCCAAGAACCATCCCACCTCCTCCACTGCAGCCAGCCAGGCACCCAGAGGCTGCTGCAACCACAGTTCAAGTGGGCCCCAGACTTTCTTTCTGGAGCTGTCCACATAATGCTGATCCTGCAGAGATCAGGAGTGCAAGAGTCTGGGAGTCATGGAGCCTTCCAATATGATTTCAAAAGAAAGCCTGGGAGCTGGGGATGTAGCTCAGTGGTGCTGCGTCTGCCTCACAAGCACAAGGTTCTGAGTTCGATCCCAGGTACCAAAAACCAAGCCACCAACCAACCAACCGAACAAACAAAAAAGAACCCCTGGGAGGCCAGGCAGTGTGGTCCCTGCAAGCAGCCTGATGGGACAAGGTACAGTGAAGCTGTGGGAGAGGCTGGTGTGGTAGTGGAGGCCCCGGATGTTAGGAACATGACTGCTGCAGGCAGAGCTCAGCCAGCCTGAGGGGGCATGCTGCCCAGGTGCTCTGGGGCTCACACCATCCCCATGTGCCCCGATGCCAGACACACGGCTGCGGGATTTGGTTTTGTCCTCTTGGGGGCTGGTCTTGTCTTGGTCTGATTCTTCCTTTTTATTTTCCTATTCTTGCCTTTTGGAGTGGGAATGTTTACATTGTGCCATTATGTCACTGAAGAATTAACTTTGTTTTTAATTTTTACAGGGTCTCGTAGCTAACAGTAAGACCTTGAGTCTCAGGGAACTTTGGACCTGAGCTTTTGAGCAATGCTGGAACTGTTAAGACTGCAGGGACTCTTGGAGATAGAGTGAATGCATTTTGCACCATGAGATGCACACGAGCCTTGGGAGCCAAGGGTGAAATGTTATTGTTTGGATCCTGAATGTCCCCCTAAGCCATGTGTTCAAGGCTTGGCCACCTGTCTGGCAGTACTGGGGGATGGGGAACTTGTTAGGAGGCGGGCCTCATAGGAGGAAGTGAGATCACCAGGCATGCCCTTGAAGAGGTATCCAACACTTGGAATTTTTAAAGTTTGCTTTCTATTATGGAAGTAGTATGGTCAAATATCAAAATTTTTCAAATCAAAGGAAAAACACTCATCTAGAAGCATAACTCTGAACACAACCACCATTTGGTATATATGTTTTCTTAGTCTTTTGTTTTTATGTGTAGTTTTCTTCTCTAATCACAAAAATTAATGTGATCATTACTAAAATTCTAGAATCTAGGTAAAAATATTAAGAAAATTAAAATTGCTTATAACTAGAAACTATGGAATCATTATTATTTCTACTAAATAATCACTCATATCCAAATATAGTCAGTAAGAGTTTGGACTTGAATTAATCCAATAAAATAATTAAGAAACCTAAGATTTTTAATAGATAAAGAAACTGAGTCCTCCAGGAGGTTAAGTAATTTTCAGAGATAAAAGTATGCCATAGCATATTTGCAAGACCAGAAAGCAAAGACAAGTCATGGAAGAAAGTGCTGCTGCTGAGACTCAAAACCAGTATTTCAGAACTTGGGAGCTAGAGAAGCAGCGTACGTCCAGGGCACCCCAACAATCCTCAGGCTTCACCGGGAGCTACAGCCATCTAACACTGCCTTTTTTTCAAGACCACCTATTATTTTCCCTTGATATCATATGATATTTCTGAATTGAGGTCTTAAATTCTTCACCTAGAACTGGAGTAGGCAATATCTAGTTCTATTTCTCAAACTGGAGTATCTATCATTCTTCAAGCTTTACCTGTGTTTTGAGTAATCCTTCTGTATCTATTATATATTTTTTCTTGGTGTTTAAAGATATGTGCAGCAAATACATGCTTTTTCTACCATACAGCATGTGACAGGGCGTGCAGCTGTGGTGAGGCCTTCAGAAGTTTAAAGCCTCACTTATACCTGTGAAAAACAGCTTCTGAGAAATAACATTCCTGGTGAGAAAGTACAATTCATATTCAAAAAGTTCACTAAAGCTCAGATCCATGCTTAGTAGTACTCAGAAACTAGTCACTTTCCTATTATGCACAGTGAGCTGAAAATAAAAAGCATTTTGAAACACATGGAATGTTCCATTGTTACTGTGAATTTTTTCTTTCTAGTCCAGTGGAGGCTGGAAGTGTTTTTCACTAGATAAAGTGAAATAGTCTTGTTCAGTCTTTTCTCCTGATTGTTTCGGTGGTTTGGACAGATGAGTGTGCTTAATCCTGAGGCAGTGTAGTGAGACGTTTCTCATGTTATATAGGAAAGAACTGACTGTTGAGAGCTTTTGATTCTGCTCTTGTATGCTGGACTGCATTCGTCCACAGAATGAGATGAGCTAAGTCCCTTCTTTACAAATGCTGTTTTGATGGATCCTGGATTGTGTCTGTCATATTTGTGCCCCTTCTTTTAAGAACAATGTTGCATTATGTTCCTTGGGATAAAGTGTGATTTAATAACTGATTTAAATAAAATACCTGCTTTCACTTAAAAAAAAAAGACTTAAGAAGTAAGAAGAACAGGATCCCAGCCCCAGGCACCATGCCCCAGCTTCCACATCTTAAAGTGAACGGGGGCTGACCCTGGGGGAAGGAAAGATCCACTACCCCTTTTCTGGCCTTGAAGTTGCCTATGAGGAAGAGTCTTGAGCCACAATTCCAAGGCCCCTGTACAGAAAGCTGTTAGAGCATCTTTTTCTTCAAGACTTATTTAACTATGATAAACTATAAATCACTCATAGCCACAGGTACTCTAAACTTTCTATTTATATTTGTTTTCAAGGATTAGTAGATGAGTAAGACAGAAATAACCTAAATCTTTTCATTCCAAGCTTCCTATTATATATCTTCTATCTGGAGTTACGTATTTGTTATTTATCTTTTATACCATCTTCCTCTCCATTTTACCTGCAACTTGAGCATATGTCTAAGAATTTTATACCACTTTAGAATGTACCTTTCTTAACAGACATATATTATTTTGTAATGGTATTTAAACAAATTAATATTTTTACTTACTCTGGATTTTTAACTAGAAGGCTCTGGATGAAGTCTGTGGCCAGCTGTGAAACTGATGAAAAAGTTTCTTCTGAATAATCTACATTAACTTGAGAAATATTAAGATATGTTTCTTGATTATCTTCTCCCAGAAATGGTGATGTATGAGTTAGCAACATATAAGCAATTATACCAATATTCCTTAAAAGAACAAGGGAAAAGAACTTAAAATTAATTCAATCTTTAAAATATTCATATAATGTACAATCAGTATTCTACATATTCCTGTTCTCAAAACTGGTGCATTTAAACTATAGACTTAAACTGTTTTTGATAGAGGTGTCCCTCGATAAAACTACACACTGATGTGTATCTGACCTCCCTTTTCTGCTTAGCAGACAGCTTTGCCTAATTTTTCTAGACTTAGATCAAGTATTCCCATTGCTGAGCATTTTACCTTTACTACAGAACCCAGCACCGCACTGGGCCTATTCTGTTCTTTTATTCAACTGAGTCTTCATCACCAAAAGGGATTTCCTTATATATTTCTGAACCTTTGGCTCAGAGCCTCAGTGCTATTTAAAAAAGATGGGCAGGTAAATATCCTCCTGTGGCATAATAATGATACTTGAAAAAAATCTTTTAAATAAAGCCTTACGATTTACACTTGGAATCGAAGAACCCCAGAACATACCCCACCCAACTTTCCCTGCTAGGTAACTAACAGAATCTTATCTTACCACATATCTGTTGCTGTCGTGATGGGATCATAGTTCAGGATTTCTGGAGCTGAAAGGGAAAAAATTTAAATGCAATTCTGACAGAATTTATACTAAATTAGAATTGGATTTAATTTTGAAAAGCCGAGTGATATAAGATAAACAGAAATTTAGTATACTTGTAATTACCCTCTGATCAGACACACATGTGTAATATTGAACAAGTTATGACCAGATGGTTCAAAAACACTGAAAATATTCACAGAGTACCTGGTAGTTATGCAGTTTAATAGAACCAGGATATTAATATTAACCTCAGAAAAAAATTATGAATAAATAAAATGTTAGGAGCTACAATATTTTAAAATTTTTAGCTCTATTACTTTGTTAGGAATTAATTTGCTTTATTTTATTAGATTGAGTTTAAGTTTTTCTTTTCAGGATAAATCAGATCATACACATTTATAATGACATTGTGAATAAATTATGCTTCTAGGCTTTCAGGCAGACTAAATATCCCTTTTAAACAATCTCTTTTGAAATCAAAAACCTAATTTGCTAAGCAATTAATTTCCAGTTATCTCTTCACCTGCCCCAAAAAACTGCAAAATAAATTCTCTATACTTTCTCAACATTACCATGTATTTCAAATTGTGACATCCACAAGAGGACTTATGACTGAAAAATAATTTTCTTCCTTTACAACGGTTACATGATTTCTCCAAAATGCATTTGTTTTGCCCGACTATTTTGTAGTCTGATAAACCACCTACAACTGTTTCACATACTTTTGTGAGCAATATTTTCAAAAATTACAACCATTTATTCTAGGATACTATCGTCCATGTTAGCATTCAAAAGTTAGTCATTTGCATTGTTGTTCACTTCTGGAAATAACTGCCTAGCTGAATGGTACCTGTTGTGTTTAGCTGTATCTTTTCAGTGTCTACATAGGGATAGCCATATAAACAATGAAAAAAGGTAAATGTATTTCTACCATAAATCAAAATACTCTATATGCTGCTTCATGCAACTTAAGAATCTTTCATATGCATGAGCTACTTTTTTGATTTAGTACAGTATTTCTAGATCACCTAATCCTAGGTTCCTTTTTGGCATCTTTCTTCAAAACCCTCCCTTCACGGTCCTACACAAAACCTCACATTTATAAGCAGTAGCAACAAATAGTAACCTCTCCTCCCAACAATTCCTGTAAAACCAACGATATCTGTACTGCAAACAGCTTTGGCACTGGGACCACAGAAGAAAAAGTGAAATCTATCCAACAACCAGGCTTTAAAGGCAATCAAAGGCAACTGATTACCTCAGTTTTTCGCTTTGTCCATTTTTCTTCTGTTCCCAAACTAATTTCCTTGTTACTTATTTTTCTCCTCATATATGTACAATATCTTTATACACAATATTAAACTTCACATGTATGGCACTTAACTCATGTGAAATGTGAACGTGTCGATATCCCTACATTCACTATGATTCATTTAAATGTGTCATAACCAGGTTTCAATGCATTAAAGTACTTCAACTAAATAAATCCTGAAATTACTTGCTGGAAAAACATAACAGGGTAGAGTTTCTTGTTTTTGTTTGATTTGTGATGTTACAGATGGAACGCAGGGTCTCATATATGCTACCCAAGCACTACTGAACCATACCCACAGCCCCCAATACAGTTTTTTAAAAGGTATCATCATCTAATTAATAAATTTCAAAATGATATAGAAAATAGAAGCAAATTCTTACCTAGGTATTCTGGAGTTCCCATGATCTCCCGAAGTTCACACGCATTCCCAATTTTTCGAGACATTCCAAAATCTACAATTTTTATGTCTCCAAGAGGATATATGCTGCTTAATAATATATTCTGTGGCTAAATAAAGCACAGCAAAAAATTGTAAGTACTCTAATATGCAATTAAAGAATATAAGTCTCAGTTTGGAGAGAAATTAATTGGAATTTATCGGGTCACCTGTCAAACACCTACTGAGCTACTGTTTAGGAGGAGCTATACTCAAAAAGTATTTTCAGTTTGAAGGGGAAGGAGTTAGACTACTCAGGAGTTAGGAGTTAGAGTACTCAGACAAGGCTGCCCACTTCTGCCCACATAGAGTCCGGCAAGGCTCTCGGGAGAGATGATGCTGGAGCCGAGCCCTCAAGGACAAGCAGGAGCTCGTGCGTCCACAGGAAGGCGCCCAGGAACGTGGGAGGTAGAAGGGACTGACACGCACATGTTTCTAGAGGAGAGGTGCTTCGGCACAGCGCCGTGGTTCTGGACAAGCGGGGTCTGACCGTTGCCAGGCTTGTTGTAGAGAAAGCGGAGGCACGGCCACACCACCCACTGCCTCTTGGAAGGATGTGGCTGTGTAGGCCAATGGTCTATGACAAAGTCCTCTGCTGCTACACAAACCCACGTGCATGAGGAGGTGCTGCTCCCAAAGTCTGTGCAGAGGATCTGAACAGTCTCTTAACTTTGGGATAGTCTCTTGTTTGGGATTATTAACTCAGAGAGAGTATTCCAGGATAAAAGGTTAGGGCAAAGAGCTCCGCTGTCATGAAGGTCAGGCTTTAAAGTCCATAATGTTAGGTTTATAGAGGTTTGAATGCCATCCCTACTTCAAGAGCTGCACAATGCCATGTAATGCACTTGATTTCTCTTTAGCAGGAGCAAGACCCAACAGGAACCTGACAGGAGTGTGATTACGTGGTGCTCACCAGGTTGCTTCTTTCCCAAGATATTCTCACTACTAGAAATGGTAGGGACACTGGGCAGTAAAAACTCTCCCCTCCTATCCCCTGCCCAATATAAGAAAACAGCCTGGTTAATTTTTCTCCTCTGAAAAAGGAGTAAGAAAAAGAGGGAAAGATAGTAAGTCTAAGAGACATGTATATTTTAAAGTTTCTACAGGACACTCACATAATATCCAATCTACAACTGAAAAATGACTTGGAAATTAGGAGATGAGGTTGGACCATAGGGTAGAGATCTGGGATTATGGTGATGAAAATGGTAGCGAAGCCAAAGGATCATGCAGGAAGGCATAAAGAAGACTCCAGTGCTCCAGGCTAAAGAGACAGATGAACAGACTTTAAGGTCACTGGGTGTTTGTGGAAGAAGACAGGGAGAAAGACAGCAACATGAAAGGCCAAAGCGTCAGGGCTTGGGTGAGGAGCCTGAATGATCTGGAAAGAGCCAAAGGACCGAAAGCCTCAATAGCAAGATGGCTGAGCAACATGTGAGAGAGGAATGTGGTTAGTAAGAGCACATCTGCAGAGGTGGAGATGAAAATTGAGGGCTTCAGAGGTAGCCGCCTGGATAAAAGGAGGCCCAATATGTGGCTCTCAGCAAGGGATGGAGTGGGATGATGATGGGAGGAGAACGCATAAGAATGATGCCTTAAAGAAGTCAGTAATTAGTCTGAGCTGTGTAAACACACAGTCACTTCCTGTCTGCCAGCACAAAGCCAAGTCCCTGTAGCACAGTGGGTAGGTAAAGAGGGCACCAGCACTGCCTAGAAATCAGACAAGGCTGTTTCTTCTCAATGCCAGCTTAGAACCCTGCATACCAAGGGCACAGAAGGAGTACAATTGCTGTGTCACTTCACATAACACTTTACCTCACCTTCAAATCAAGGTGTACAATGTTATTCTGATGTAGATAACAAACTCCTTCAAGTATTTGTTTAATGAGTCTGATAATGTCATTTTCAGAGACCATTTCAGCCAACTCAGGTAAACATAGGTTGAAAATTTCTCCTCCTGCAGCACTGAAATAAAACCCAAATAACAGAAACTTAAAATCAGTAACCTAAAAAATAACCTTTAAACACTGTATACCTGCTAAGTAAGACACACAACTATGTGAACTTCAATGTGTGCATGATACACATACACATAACACACACACATAAACACATTTCAGAACAAGGTAGGGGGGATCTTCAAGGAATAAAATAAATGCAAGAAGAAATTTAAACCTGATATTAATACTTGAATATTTAACAAAACCGAATCACCTTATAATCTATATAATAATAACGTTGTAATCTGCCTTAACTGTTCAGTAAAAATAACTACAACGGTGGCTAACACTTTGGACCTGCTCTGTGCACAGATCCATCTGCATGGGTCTTATGGCTATCATCTACTTTGACCTCATGACAACCACACGAGGCATGCGGTTATTCCCATTTTACGGATGGAATGAGTACAAGAGGTTAGGCAACTTGTAAAGTCACACAGTAAACAGCAGACCAACATGGGAATATGGTTAAGAACCCACATTCTTAGCCAATACCCTGTATTGCAGCTTCATGTAGAATACTTGGGACCAGTATTTTTCAAAGAACTGAAATCTAAAGAATGCTCAAACAGGCACAGTGAGGGCCAGGGATTTAGCTCAGTGGTTCTGCTGCCTGCCTCGCAAGCCCAAGGTCCCGAGTTCGATCCCTGGTACCAAAAGAAAAAAAAAAAGGCATAGTGAAAATCCCTAAGTTTAGAATCAAATAATCTGAACTGAAATCCTAAATCTGCTACTTACTGGCAATATAATTTAGGGTCTGTCATTTATAGTATCTGAGTTTCCCCATCTGTAAAATGGATCTCACTAAACTCAACAGATTTTGGGGAACTAAATGTAAGATAAAAGTCATCAGTGAGAATATCATGCAAAATAAAATCTAGATAGTTACTCATCAAATTTGGGAATATTTAAGTAAAGTATATTTTATGTTATTAAACAGCAACTCACTCTAGAAAACACTATTCTTTTTGTTTCTTTGGCTCACTGGTTTCTTTGATCCAGAGCATAAAGAATAGCATCTGGCATATACAAGGTGTTCAGCACATACTTGTTGAATGAATGAATGAATTAAAGAATGCAGTCATTCTTCAGAGAGGCAGAAATTGGGATTGACAAGGAGAAAGAAGTCATAGGTAGTTATGGGAAGCCGGAGGAAAAAAATGATGTTGGTCTCAGATTTGAGTCCCAAGTCAAAGGCTTGCTGTAGCTGTAACTTGCCACTGAGCCGTCAGCACAGCTTGCCATAGAGGCCACAGAATTTGTTACATCATGCTTTACAACACTGCAGAAGCAGCACTGAAGGACAGTTCCTGGGGAGGAAGTGTGAATGCTGCGTCTCACAGGCTTCACCCCCACCTGCCCACCAGGACTGCCAGACAATTCCTAAGAAATTCACTTCCGCATCTACCTCAAGGCATCATGGATGACACAATCTGTTACTGAAGGGTAGTGTGCTACTACTGAATTCATAGTGGTAAACTCCAAAATAAGGTACAGGAAGATAATTATGCCATTTCTCTCTTTTTTGCCTAAAATCAATTCACGTCCACAAACAGTGAGTGTTTAAACTCCTCCGGTGGCCCTGCAGCCTTCTCAAGGTCCCTGAAGGGAAGAGTGACAATGGTGACACCTTCACTCCTCCCTTGCTGGTTACATGGCCTGGTTGTAACTAAACAGAGAGCGATTTAAATATATTCCTGGAAAAACATTCACGAAGTATTACCAATAATATTGCATTACATAATATCACTCATGCAATTATAAGCAATAAGAAAATGAAAAGATGAACTTCAGATTCTCCGAAAATAAGTTCTTTGCTAGGCACTTGACAAGATCCAAACCCAAGGAGACAGGCTGAGGAGGTAGTGGGAAGCCCTGCCCAGGGCCCGGGGAGGGAGCACAGACAATGGGTGCCTGCAGGGTCACAGGGCTGTCACTAACCAGCCATGCAAATGGGGACAAGACATCTGCTTCTTCTAATGTGACATATGAGCCAGATCTCCAGCTTCATTCATGTAAGATTTCCACTGGATACTGTACATGAAGCATCAAGAACCAGAGTTGTTAGAAGGATTGAAGTGGACCTCCCTGTCAGTGTGCATCCCAGGCCCCAACATGGACTAAATATTCAACACCTATCAGTTATTAATATCATGGAGCAACACACATTTATTCTGCTCTAGCCACATCCAGCCTTTTAGTATTGGGGGCTTCTTGTTGAATTTGATTTTGAAGATAAAAATCTTTGCTAAATTAAAATTCAGTTTTAGAAATATATATATGCCCACACTGCATTCTTAAGTGAAAAAGAATTTCAATAGAATATATCCAGTAGATTGCAATTGGTTCTGAAGCTACACATGTATAGACAAAGAAATAAGGATAATTCTAAAATCCAAGAATGTGCCACGAAGTAATCACATTTACATGATTTCTGCATCTTTTCAATCTACACTTGATCTTAGCCAAAAGGCCGAGAAGTGATGCATCTTTTCAATCTAACGTAATGGATAAGTATTACTTTTATAACCAAGAAAAGTGTGCTAGGGATTTTTTGCTTGCTTCAAGAGCACCACACTGCGACTGTCAGCCAGCCCTATGTCTTCCCCTCAGGCTGACATAGTGACAGTGTCCTGCAGGACTCTGCGAGGTCCACAAGAGAGGGACAGACAGGAAGAGTTCAGAGGAGGGAAGGAACGGACAACACAGGCAGCAGACTGCAGAAGTTCGCAGGAATTGGGAACAGAAACGAAAACCATGATTAGCAGCAAGCAGATGCTGTGGTATAACAAGCCACCTGGAGCAGGTACACTCCACAGACACACACATACATCAATCTATCAGAACTCATAGCTCTGGTAATTCCAAAAGAAAAAAGTTCCAGACAGATTCATAAAACAGTAAATGTAATAATTCATCTTAAGTGATTGTGAGCTGATCATATGTGTGTATGTGGGTTTTTACATCTACTACAACTGTGTATGCATTCACCCATGGAGCCAGAAATGCCACCTCTTGGACCCTCCCCTAAGCCACACCTCACAAACAATGCCCACCCAGGGAAGGCCGGAGGAAGGAGAAAGCATGCTCCAACCATATGCAGCCATACCACGAGGCTGGGCCGTAGCTCAGGGGGTACATGCTTAGCGCGCATGAGACCTTGGCTTCAATCCCCAGTAATGCAAAACAAACAAACAAACAAAACAGCCATAATAGTAAGAAAAATGCCCATGAACTCATATAGATTGACTTCTAAGTTATACTGTTAAGAAAAAAAGCAAGGTGCAAAGGAGCATATGTGGTACACTACTTTTGCTGTAACTAAAAGAAATACAAAGATATAAATTCACTTACACTTGCAAGAAAAAGCATATAAAAAATAAGGCCGGGGCTGGGAGTGTAGCTAGCTCATGGTACAGCACTTGTCTAGCATGCTCAAGACCCTGACCATAAAGGAAAAAAGAAAAAGAAAGAAAGAAAAGAATGAGCCAAAAATGAATAAATATAATTACCTACAAAGACTGGGTGAGAAGAGAATAGGAAGATCAGGAATGGGAGCAAGATTTTGTAGTATACATTTTTATCTATCTTTAAGTTTTGAATCATGCAAATCATTTTTATAATTTCAAAATTATTTTTTTAAAGGATTTTAAAAAACCAAACCCTAAATTGAACAGAAACAGAACAAACAGACCTAACTATCTAACTCCAGCTATCTGTCCTCAGGCAGGGCCCAGGCCAGGCTGGTTAGGAGCCAGGCTGGGCTGCAGGGGCAGGACATGAGGGGCAGGCAGGGAGGAGGTGTCACCTGTGTTCTCGGCTCCTCCCCTCACTGGCACCGCAGCCCGAGCTCCACATCCTGTCAGATCCGGGGTAGCATGGCATCCTCACAGGAGTGCACCCTACTGTGAACTGCTACATGCTCCTTAGGAAAATCTAGTGCCCACCTATCCAATCCGATCGGATCCGATCCCATCTGATCTGAGGGGAGCTGAGGCGGTGAAGTGGCTGTAGACAGATTCACATTAGCGGAGAGGTGTGACAGCACAGGAACCAGCGTTAACCGTTAACGGACTGCTTGCAGACTCCTATCAGAGCCCTATCAGCAAGTGACAGGGGACGTTTATGCTACACACCTCATGGAAGGTCCTCGAATCACCTCGAAACCACACACCTCCCAATCCATAGAAAAACTGTCTTCCACAAAACTGGGCCCTGGTACACGGGGCCCACTGCCTTAGTGAGTTATATTGTAAATTCAAAAAGAATGGCAACAAAAAGTTCAAAGTCCACTAAGTAGCTTGCTAGTGCTCTTAGTGGTTTGGTAGTGGTATCAGAATACAGCTGTGCTCAAACTTTTGCTGGAAAAGGCAAATGAGTAAGTGTTGTTGAGACCAGGGAGATGATAATAATAATAATAATATAGAAGGTGAGAAGTGATAAAGAACCTTGCAGTGGCAGGTGTGAACTGGAGCTGTGAGAATAAATTCATGATTTTAAAAAATATGCCTTCCTAACAGTAGTCTCAGAAAAGGCCTAGGACAGTGACCACCCACTGACAATGACCGTGCCCAGCATCCCTCTCTTGGTTTCTAAGTGCCGTTCTGCACTAAACACCAGAGCTTCCTGGAGAACTGGCTGACTAGAGGTATGGGCCAAAGTGACCCTCAAAATCCTGGTGTGCACAGAACTTCAAGGAAGTCCTCAAACATGAACACATCATATCAAAGAACACAGGCAGTAGCTTAAAAGGCTAACTGACAAATTTAACCACTGATACATTTTGAACAATTTCAGCATGAAAAAAAAACATAGTGGCTGCAACTGACTAGACTCCATAAATTAAAATACAGTAAATTATTATCCCAATAAGTTGGACCTCTATTAAAATAGCTTATTCAAGTATATTAATGGTTAACTAAATCACTGGGTGAAAAGCTGTTAAAAGAAGAAGATATTCACAAGGTCTCTAAATATCACTACAGATGACTTACTAATTACAAAGGGCAATGAATGGAAGAGCTACCACACTCCACCTTAACCATGCTCAAATTCAACAAGACCAATGACAAAACTATTTGATGGTAATGCCACCAGATACACATCACCACCCACATTGTCTTCCCCATAGAAGTATTAAAATCTAATCATAGGAAAAGAAGACAAATCCAGGACACATGACATTACATGTGCTAAATGATTCAGATTTCCCCCCCACAAAGTCAAGTCAACGTCATGAAAAATGAAATGACTAAAGAGATTTAACAAATATTATGCATGAATCTTGAATGGGTTTTGGACTGGAAAAAACAGTTCTATAGGATATTTTGGAGACAATCAATGAAATTTTTAAACATGGCCTGTTATATGATACTATTGACTGAGTGTTAACTTTCCTAGATTTGATGCTGGGGTTAATTATGCAAAAAGTCCCCTTATTCTTTGGAATTAATACTTTCAGCATGCAAAGGAAAAATATCCTGATAGAAATATTGTAAAATAAAAAGCAAAACAAGTATGTAAGATAGTTGGAGGAGAGAATTGAATTGGTAATAGTTGTAAGAGTGGAAGATTCCACCGTTACATTTTTACCATACAAACATTATGCCACCTTATTGAAACAAACCCCTCTTAACTGATTTTTACCAGCAACTATCTGATGTGATCATATTGCCCCTAAAGTGAAAGGAATAGTAATTAAGCCAAAATTTCACCAATAAACTTTAGTAAGTCTTAGTCATACTGGTAATAAATATACTAATCCACTCAAACATGTGCCGGGTGCTTCTACCTTTCAACCAGATGTGCACAGATCAGTAATAGTTCTAGTTTACTGGGTAGGGTTCCTGAATCAATTTTCACAGTAGTATGACTGTGGTCTATCCATAAAATGTGTCAAAAATTTTTTAATTTATTTTGTAGTTGCTGTTGAGATGAACCCCTAAAAGGAGATTTTATGAAAGTAGCCAATGCACCTATGTATATTCATCCTCCAAACTTAGTATTTCATTACAATTTTTGAAAAATATTTACTTTTTACATACTTCAAACATGCAGAGGTCATGCAAGTGGACACCTGACAGTCAGCTAATGAATCTGACAAAATAATCACAAATGTAGGAAAAATGAAATCATACTGGAGATCCTGACCTTCCCTGCAATTCCAAGCAATACTGAAGGTGCTACAACATGCCTTTAGATGGAATCTTGGTGCTCTGGGAAATGCTCACAGTATTCATACTTAATGAACTACTTGTTAGTTTAACAATGTTGATAATCAGCATTTTCATTTGCAAGTTCATTCCAGGAAAATCTATTTCTTAGCACAAAAACACTGATTTTAAAAAATATATATATATTAAAATTCTCCATTCTTAAAATAAATACTAAAATAAGGCTAATATACTTTTAAATTAAAAAAGGTAATGATGCAGGATAGCTACAAAAATAGTTACTATAGTTCTTAATAGATCTTTTTTTCTAAAAAGTAACTTTTTTTGTTTACTATAAAATAGATTTACTTTATTAAAAATTGTCAGAACCTAAAAGGTACTAAATATAAATGTAACTGATCTTTTCCAGTTGTTCCAGATGTCCAAACATATTTTTTACATTTTCTGTTCTCATTGGATCATTTCCTTGGAGGTATTTTGCAAACAGATGGACAAAATACATCAGTGACTTCAATTCTATTTGCCCATCAGAATGTTTTTCAGAAAAATTCCAATTTCTGTGCCATTAGCAAAATAAAAGTATACTTATTTCACCCCAGTCCCCAAATGTTGAGTGGTAATTTATGTTTTTTTGTTTTTGTTTTTGTTTTTTGGTACTGGAGATCGAACTCGGGTCCTTGTTCTTGCAAAGCAGGTGGCAGAACCAAATCCCCGGCCCTGTAATTTATGTTTTTTGTGAAATACTTGAATATAAACTGTCTCTGTAATATGTTAGTAACAGATATAAGTTCTTACCACACTTTTTATCATTCTTATGTTTGACAATTTCAAAGCACCATGTCCTATCAATTAAAACAGGCGCCTTAAATTTATCAAAATTTGTAATACTTACTATTCCAATATCAAAATGATCTCACTTGTATTTTCATAGACCTCATGAAGATTAATCACATGGGGACAAGACTTTGCCAGTTCAAGCACAGCAATCTCATGCAGAATTTCTGCTCGACAATCTTGTCCTCGTCTTCTCTTTTTGAGAAATTTTGCAGCATATTCTTGGCCAGTAGATTTTGATATACACTGTCTAACCACAGCAAATTTTCCTCTGGGAGAGAAAAGGACAAGCAATTTTAAATTTTCCATAGAGAACAACATTAATATATTACAGATATTGTTATAACTCCAACATAAAGTCTAATCTTTCAAATATGCATGCCATTAAGAATCTGTCTTTGAGCTGGGGATTTCGCTCAGTGGTTCCACTGCCTGCCTCGCAAGCACAAGGTCCCAAGTTCAATCCCTGGTACCAAAAAACAAAAAACAAAAAACAAAGAATCTGTCTTTATTTTCTAAACTAAATCAAATATAAATACTTTTATAACATGTATAGTGTTATGTAAAAAATGTAAATGACAAACTATAATAGCAGGGTAAGACAAAATTATAATTATTCTTCACTATTAATAGAATACATTATAATTGCAAGCAGATTCATCCCATTTGCATTCCGACTCCAAGCCATACACTTGATATAAATTATTGTGTTTAAGTACCACAACAATCCTATATAGCAAATGCCATTCTGTTTGGCAGACCACAGAGAAGATGTGTAACTTGGTTAAGGTAAAGATTTAAAGACTATACCCTTAGCAGGGCATCTCACTGACTTGCTAATCAGAATACCTTTTCTTCAAATATCAAAAAATCAAATGATAATGGGTATATGACTTGTTTAATTTTATTAATGCAATAATGCTGCCTTTAAACATGAATTTTAACAAGCTTAGGCACTTTCTATCATAATTTGTGAATTGTTTTACCAGTAAATCTTTTGTTCAGACAGAAAGAGCATGTATTCTATAGAGAGTATTCTAAAACATTTCATGATCAATGGAGAATGTTAACGATTATCAACTGCTAAGTACAACACACCTGTTAAGGTTTATCATTTTAGAAATAAGTGTGTTTTCAGCTCTTTCCAATAACAGTTCATAGCTCTGCAGCCAAAATTTTAAAACACACAAAAATTAGTTTCCATTGGTATGTGTGTTTGTTAGCAGTCTATAGCCACCCAATATTTAGCTTCACAAAGGGATAAACCTATTCGGAGGCAAAGACTGTCAACTAATGAAAGCTACTGGCTAGCCTACCCATAGAAATGCACACACACCCTAAACAGGGAGTTCACACTCAGTTGCAGATTTTGAAGTCCCATCCACAAGCCTTCTAAGCTTGAAATCTAGAGGATCCAAAATTAAGAATTTCCATTCTAAGACTCAAGCTATTCTCTAGCTTATGATAGTAACAAATCAGGTATAAATCATAAATCTTGATTTTTGTTCCACAACTCCTCTAGCCCAGTTCCCTCTTCTAGCACAGCAGATCAGCCCTTAGCAAGGAAAACCTCTTTTTTTTTTTTTTTAACACAAGTGATATTTAGGCAGGGATGAGGAAACAAACTGCTTGATTGTTTTTACTTGCTATTTCCAAGGACCAGAGTAACAAACATTCTGATTCTTCCCAATTCCTTAAAATTGGTGACAGTGAAAACCATTGCAAACTAAACCGAAAAGGTTTAGCTAGTAAGTAGAGCGAACCCTCGAGTTATGACCAGGCTGCCATATGAACAACTTGGGTTACAACCAGAATTTTAGTTCTAACTTATGAACAAAATCTTGAGTTATGACCCGAATACTGGGCAGTTTTGCTTCCAGATGGTCTCAGATACAGATTTAACCCTTAAAGAGTTCCGGAAGGAACATGACAGCGTCCTTTCCTGTGTGAGGTTCACTGAGAAATTCCGGGCCAGTGTCTCTCTAAGGACACTGAGATCCGCCTGTGCACAGGAGAGAGACTTTGAAGGCGGTGTAGAGGAGCCTGAGCCTTCAATTGACCAATCTGAGTTACAACCAGCCCTCAGGAACAAACTGAGTTCGTAAATCAAGAGTCCACTGTAATGCACAAAAAAGTAATTGAGCTATAATCTGACTCCTACATTGATTGACATATACCTCAACTAAATAAATATGCATGTACAAACTTGATGCTTTGAAAGCAGTTTTAAGATTTGAGAATATTTAATTTTTTTATTTTTTTTGGTACTGGGGATCAAACTCGGGTCCTTGCGCTTGCAAGACAGGCGGCGGAACCACTGAGCTAAATCCCTGGCCTGAGAACATTTAATTTTAACTATAACATTTCTTACTCTATGAAAAAGAAATACAAATCAATAGGTTTCAATAAGCATATACAAAAAGTGCATCAATCCCTTAATTCTTCATTCAAAGTCACTAGAGTTTTATAAATTACACACTGAGGAAAATGAGTCAGGTAAGACTAAAGGACGCATGAAAGGTCACATATAGAATTACAGTGTCAAGAATTAAACTGGACTGTGAATTTCTAACTTTCAGTTGAAACCAGTACAGCATAATTCATCCCTTTAAAATAGTTTTCTTTTTCCTCCATGAGGTTTCCTCTATGAGGTTTAATGTGCTTCTGCCAATTCTTACTTAGATTCAGAAGTAAAAACTTGTCCAAAACAGAAAAGAAACTTTGGGTTTTATGAAGAAATTAACCCTGTAAATTTCAGGAAACAGAAACTAGTTAGTCAAGAAAATCAGACTTCCAAAAAAAATTGTTTTGCAGTACCAGTTGTGGCAATTTAGTTCTGCTATAACTTTATATCTTCAAGCTAGAATTCCCTCAGAAAAAAGAGAAAATTCAGCATCACTTTTTGTCCCAGGTGCTCTGAGAGGCTTTCTAAAGCAAGGGCAGCGAGCACTGAGGGATCCAAGCCAGAGGCACCCAGAGGACAGGGAGAGCGACTCATCTGCTCTGTGGCCACTGAGCTGAAGCTCCATGAGGGAGTGCGCACATCTGACCTGTGGGAGAATGGGCATAAATCTGCACTGGGCCACCTCACTCAGCAGGAACCGAAGCATCTGTCGGACAACTAACTGCCAGTTACATCCGTCCCTGCTGTAACAGCACTTACTGGGCTGGTCTGTGTCCTGTACTGGAAACATTTTTTCTTTTTCTTTTTCTTTTTCTTTTTTTGGTACTGGGGATCGAACCAGGACCTTGTGCTTGCAAGGCAGGTGTGGTGCCACTGAGCTAAATCCCTGGCTTGCATTTGTATTTTTTAAAGTTTATCTGTAATTGCAATAAAATTGTATATATGTGTGTATATATTCACTTACATACTGTGAAACAAGATAAATATTCTTACCATAATTATCAACTGTCTCAGGAAAAAACCAAGTATTTATTTTCCATTCTAAAGTACTACTTGGAGTTTAGAAGTATCAAAAATACTCTTCAGTATGTAATGTTCCTGTACCAAGTTTAACAAGCATTCAAGACCCTCAGGAATGATACACAACTGACCCCCTAAAAAGGCAGGCTGAGCGGTCTCCCCAGCACAGGTCCAGCAGTTGCCTCCTGCACTGCAGTGCACACAGTGGCTGTGGAGGGTGGGAGGGCTGCAGGAGGAAGCTGACGTTTATTTCTGAATCTGCCTCTCCCTCTGACCACAAGCCCTAAGAAACCTCCCTCCCTTGGGGGAGGGGCAGAAAAATCTACCTAAGGACGTGGTAAAAAACAGGAACAATGCAAGGGGCTTGAGACCAGTAAAAAAGGGAACTTAACTTTTATGTACTTTTCTTTGGCCTGATAAAGAAAAGTACATTCCTAAACACTGACATCTTAAAATCAAGTTTTAAGACATCAGTTGACTTAGATAACTTTGCAATTCACCACATGCTAGAATGATACATTACGTACTACAAAATATGTAAGCCTCCGGCAAAACAAGATTACGATCCCAATTTCCACTGTACAAAAATATAGTATTTTGAAGATTGGTTAAAACATTGAAAGTACTTTAAGCAAGCTTTTGGTAGATGAAAAGCAATGATTTTTTATTTATCAAGGGCTTCTAATGAAATAAATTTGCATTTACCCTGTGACTCACAACAATTCAGACACTACTCAGGTCTCTTTCACAAAAATGCAAGATAGGATATTAGCAATTGAATTTGTTTTAATCAGATTCTTCTATAAGTTTTGCTCTAAAGTGTTAAAAAGCATGTGGATTCAAGTTTATAATTGGTATTTATGATGGCACCTCATTTATAAAACATTTTATATTACTGACATTCTCATCAAAGTTTAAGCTCTATTTGTCTTAAAGAAAATATACAGACTTTCTAGCTGCCACAGTATCTCATATTTTGCAAAGTTAATTTAATAAATTTAGTAAATTTATCCATTAAAGTAGTAACTTGGAAAAATGGAAAAAATATTTTGCATCTTGTGTACTGTTGAAGGCCTTGCATACCTAATTACCTATCCATCGCAACTGCCATACATTTTTGTAATAAAAGGAAACTTGTATCTATCTAGACCACCTTCTCACTGAGCAAAAGGGAATCACACAGCTAAGTCCTTCACAACTTCAGATCTACAGCGAAGACAGAGTGAATGACTTCCAATTCAGTCTTCTTCTACTCTATTCTGTGATACTGCACGACACAGGTATGGCATTACTAGGGGGGAAAAGCAGAAAGGGAAGGAAAGAAAGAAGGGAGGGAGAAAGGGAGGTTGCAAGGGGGGAGGAGGGGCAGGCCAACTCCTAACGGGTTCTTAGGCATCCTTAATAAAGTATCCTAGGATACTAACAGTGAGGTATCCAATCCAGGTCTCCCTTTCTAAGAGACAACGAAAACACCAAAGGCTCCAGAAGAAGTAACTGCATCAAGGAAGGCTATCTAGAAATTAGATCGCTTAATAAGCACTGAAGGAAACTGTCAGTGCTTAGCTATTTCAGGTATTTGAAGAACTGCCACACGGATGCACATTACGTGCAGCTACAAAAGGAGAACCATGTCTACTGGGTAGATATTGGCAGAGTAGAAAACAGGACATTATTCTACGCTTACAAGGTACCACAAAATGGAGCAGACAACTTCCGAGGTAGAGAGCTCCCCATCAAGAAAGCATTCAAATTGATGTCGGATACCACCTTATTGGGAGAAATTAGAGGAGCAATTGCTGCACTGCATAAAAATTATATCAGTGGGCCAGGGATTTAGCTCAGTGACACCACGCCTGCCTTGCACACTCAAGGTCCTGAGTTCGATCCCTAGTACCAGAAAAAAAAAACAACCAGAAATTGTATCAGAGGACCGCCAAAGTCCTTCCAATGCAAAAATTCTATGACAACTAAAATCAAGCTGAAGATATAAATTGACTAACTGCCTTTAATATAAAGCTCAGGAAACACTGAAGAGATGACTTTAAAAGTTTGATATGGCTTTTATGGATTTCAGTAGTAAACGGTCACTCCTTGGCCTTAAGAAAATTACATCTCAGGTAAGCCACAGCAGAAGTTTTACAGGCTTTTCTTTCTAGAACACCCATTCTTTGTAATACAGAATGATACTACCAGACATGAGTTACCTATTTTCCTTTAAGAAAGAAATGGGAAAGGATCTCTATTTCTTTTTTAAAGCATGGAAAACATCCTGGGAATTTAAAAAATGTTAAACAAAAACTTATATAGCACTGTATTAAGCACTTCACAAATATTAAGTAATTTGACCCTCACAATAGATAAAGTTACCTTCATTCCTTAAGATGGGGCAACTATGGCACTAAGAGGTTCAGTAATTTAACTGAGGTCCCACAGCTAGTCAATGACAGAGTCCAGATTTGGGCTCGGCAATCCACTCTGCTGAGCTGCTTCATACCATCTCAGCCACAGAGGAGAACTGGGACCTCCCAGGACTCGAGGTTAGCTGGAGCGTTCCTTACAAACTCACTAAACCTTCTACAGATTCACTTTCCCAGTCTCGGGGTTAGGGACAGACCTAATGACTTTACATTCTCATCATTGGTTTTTTTGTTTTTTGTTTTGTACCGGGGGTTGAACTCGGGGCCTTGTGCTTGTGAGGCAGGTGGTGAAACCACTGAGCTAAACTCCTGGGGGCCATTCTCATCATTGTTAATGGATCACAGTGAGTTTCAGAGTAGTACAACAGAAACAAAAACCCACAATGCGACTTTAAGCACAGCATAACATCATAGCTTCCTTACCTTCCAAGCTCTTTAGATGTAAGTGTATAGAAGTTATTAAAGTTTTCCGTTTTGATCAGAGTTTGGGGAGCTGTTGTTAGCATGCCTGAAATACTTCGGCAATCAAATCTTCTCCGTGCCATATTAGATGACTCGAAGATAAGCTTTTCCAGACACTTACTTTTTACCTATGGAAACAGAAGGCAAGAGAAGGTATAAGTTAAAAGTAATGGAGAAAAAGCCTGTTATTTGTGACAGGATGACACTACATCATACACCTCCTGATATAGAAGTAAGGTAGAACCAAAAAGAAGAAGATTATTTAAAGAGCACATTTTGCCCACAGGAGAAAAAACCAGAAGCACACACATAAACACATATCACCTCTATTGCATCTCAGTAAAGCCACTGACTTCATTTCAGAATAAAACTACTGCAAAAATCCTCCCAACTTCTTAAAAATCAGGTATAAAATTCTAATGCAAACAGCCATTTATTCTTATTTTAAACTCTCATCACACCTTTCAAGGATTAGTAATTTAACATAACAATATAATGACTTTTCATTTTAACTTCACATGGTCAAACAAATTTGGTGGTGATTTCACATATGGTGAGTTATATTACTGACATGTGAATGTCTACAAAAATAAAAACTTGTTTCACGGAAGGCTATATTTCAAAACTCAATTTAGAAGCTCTCTTAGGTCTTCAACTGTCCCCTCTGGCCTGCCATGGCTAAGAGCGCAATCATTTTGTTGGATGAGTGACCATAAACCAAGCCTTACTCTGAAGTTCATATTTATTGAAATCTCTGGGATATTTACATGCATCAAAACCACTATTTCATATGGACTGAACCCATGATAATGGTGGACTACACATTCCAAGATACAGTACTTCAGACTTTCTCCTGAACCTGCCGAGGAAAGTCTAGCATTATTCTTCTAGCACCCACCTATAATAACCCTTGGCTGTGTCCCTTTTTTGTCACACTCCCATTATTTCCTGCTGTATTTTTCTGCATTTCAACGTCAACTATCTTCTACTTCAGCAAACACACGGTGTTAGAGTTCAGTGTTTTCAGTAGGGTATGTCTCTAGGAGTCGAAGGGCCGGAGTGCAGAATTCTGAAAATAACATTTGGGGTGAAACACAGCAGGGTCCATTGGACCAGCTATGAGACCTTAAGTTTTTAAACTTCACCACTGTAGTAGTCTGTTTTCCTTCACTGTATTGAAATCCCTGGGGCAGGCTACCTTATAAAGGGAAACAGGCTTACTTTGGCTCATAGGTCTGGAGGTGTGAGGCTGGGATCATATCTGGTAATGACCTTCTTGACGGCAAAGTCCCAAGACAGGACCGAGCATCACATGGCAGCACCAAGGGACTGCGCCCGACTACGTGTAAAGCCACCAGGGCTTAATCCTGCCAGCTGTGCCCCAGTGAGCCTATCCTGACCTGGTCACTTCCCATCGTTTCTATCTCTAAACATCACTGACAGACTAAGTTCCCACCTCTTCATAGTTCACGATGGGAATTGCATTTCAGTGTGAGTTCGGGAGGACAAACCCTACTCAAATCATAGAAACTGATGCAACAGTCTGAACTATGTCTTCCTCAAATTCAAAGTGGAATCCCAATCCCCAGTAACTCAGACTGGGATTGCCTTTGGTGACAGGGTCTCTCAAGGTGGTAGTTCCAATGGCCCTAACATGTGTAGGGTCCTCATGAGAGATCAGGGCATAAACACACATACGGACTGTGAAGATCCTGGAAGAGGACTGCCATGCAAGCCAGGGAGGCTTCACAAGACCTCTCCTGACCTCAGACCTCGTCTCCAGAACTGCAAACAAACGCATTTGTTTGTTCAAGTCACCCAGTCTCTGGCAGGATAGCCGTGTTAAAAAGGGTAAAACACTTCAAATATATAGGAAGAGATACAAGTACTATAATAAAAACTTGTTCTTTCCAATAGAATTCCTTGGCCAGATGCCATTTAAATTCAATAAAACATCTTAGTCACAGTCCCTTCTTCCCATCCCCAGTCTATGCTCCCACTAGCACCAGAGGAGGAAGATTTATCATTACCTTGACAACACCTGCCCATTCAAGTTTTTCACTTTCCCAGTGATTTACTTTGCATATTCTTGATCATAGCGAGGAAAGCTTCAATTCTGTTGTCTCTCTAGTTTGGATGATAACAGAATTGATCTTACAGAGCTCTAAAGAATAAGAGTCAAAATAGTATGAACACATGTAGACTGGCACTGGTTTGGTGCTAGTTATGATGGCACTGCACGTCCATTGCATTAATGAAAGAAGTTAACATGCTACCCAACTGTGCTCTCCACACAGTACCCTGCCACTACTGAGTAGATACACCACTTCCATATACAAAACAACCACCTCCAGTGAGCCTACACTCAACTCTGAAAACTCTTTATTTTGTTTTAAGTGACTATTTCTCTATCTTCTTACTTCTAATGACATCAGTCTCATTGGTCACATACTGTTCTCTAAAAGACCAATATAGGTATCAATGTCTATGCTCACTTTGGCTTTTCCTCCCAGATCATCTCTGAGCTTTTAGAATGACATGCCTAAATGAAAACATCTACAAATATGCATGCTTATAGATGCACTTACACTATACACATAGATTCAGAAAGAAGGGCTATGACTGTATCTTGGATACGATTAGAATACATTCCCAGTACTGTCCATCAATGAAGAACATAACAAGTTCAAGGAGAAAAATAAAGACTCTTCATCCTAGTCTTTTGTCTCTTGCAGCTTCTAGATTCTAAGATGTTCACCTCATACTTTAATATACTGCCTTCAAAAGGATCCAATCATGAGAACTCTGACAGAACTAAGATGTACTTTTTAAAAAGGCATTTTCTGCTCCCAATTTTTAAGAGTCAATATGAGTTTCGGATGCACTTAGATTTATGTTCAAGTAAGCATGATGTATAATACTGAAAAAATACCTAAGCAATTTATTGAATTCATGAACCCCAAAGTTCAACAAAGCTTCATATATAGTATGATAAGTCTGTAGGCAAATATAAAAGCAAACAGAAGTAGCAAAACAGTACTGAAAAACAGTAGCAAAGTGTTCACAGTGGTTGTCTTTGAGTAGTGACATTATAGGCAGTATTTATCCTTTTCTGTTGATGTTATTTACAGTAGAGTATTACCTCAATAATCAACAAAAACATATGACTTTGGGTAAAAAAGATGGCTCTGACTCTCTTCACAAGAGACAACATTTTTAAAATCCAAAAAATATTAATATTTATTCCAGTAATTTAACTGATAAATTCTTCCTTATGAAAAAAAAAAAAGATGGCTGTGAATATATGAGAGGACAAATGCAGAAGCATACCCACCTGTGGCAGAAAACCTTTCCACAGTAAAGGTTTACTTAGCCTAAGGTTCAAGAGCCATCATTAGTCAGGTTTTCAAAGGCCTCAACATTTCTCTCCATTACCATTGCAGCTGATGGTGTTCTACATCCAAATAATAGGCCAGTTCTCATGCAAAGACCATGCAAGAATGTGGTATATACTAAGCAATAATTAACATCTTCTTTAATATTGCATGGAAAAGCACTTAGTAATAACAACTTGGTAACCTTAAGATACATACCTTTATAATGAGTATCACTTATAAAAATTCAGACTCATCCTAGAACCCCTCCAAAAAAATCCAAAATGTGATATCACTATATTTGAAATGAAGAAAGCAAATATGAAGAGACTAAGAGCAAGGAAGCAGTCTCCATAAACCTTGGAACAGCTCTGTTAAAAGTTATTCATCATGGTATTCATTCCAAAGCTATCAAATAAACGCTTTCCAAAAGTACAATGTACAGCAGACAATAATGAATCAAATAGTCTGTTTGGATTCCTCATTAGCTCCCCAGGGCCTCTAAGCTAAAACTCTTAAGCATGACACACAGGCTACTGAAGCCTGGGCACTAGTTTCATTTCCTGCCACACTCCGAGTTCACATTTGTCTCCACATCCGTGTTACTCTTCTCTGCCTGAAACACACTTTCTAATTCTCCTTAAATGGCTCTTTTCACTATGCTCTTCCTCAGGAAGCTTTGCCCCAAACCCACAGGTAGATTTAAAAGCCCTTCCTTTAGAGTAAGAGGTCCCTTGCCATCCCTTACATCAAAATGTAAAATGTTAGACTGCAGTTATGTTTAGGACCTACAGGGCAGCAAACTTTTACTTCTGTACTGAAGCAACCAGCCTGGTGCCTAGGATCTGGTAGGAATCCAAAAAATATTTGATGAACAGAATTATATGGATGATAAAATATAGCGAAGCGAATTTTTAGGTGCATTTCATGTATCCAAGGCATTAGCATTACAAGTTGAAGTCCATCTTGACATTACAGTACTAGAGCTCCCAAATGCAGCTAGTCTCTCCTTCATTCAGTATTTGACTAAATAAGCATTTGAAGTTGTTATTAGAGAAATCAGTTCAAAACAGGATAGCTACAAAGTCCAGACACATAGATGAAATTATTTTTGTTATATACTATACTGCCAACAATTTATTTTATATTTATCAGACTTTCTAGAGTGAGTGACCCCTGTTTTCATGTAAATATCCATTTTGGTTAAGAACATCAGTGTCTTAATAACCTCAGTCAGGAAATTCAACCTGTCCTTTCAAAAACTGATAAATCTAGGTCTTCATGAACCTCATTTTGAAGGGAATGGTGAACAGACTAAACCACAAAGCTGCAGGGAAGCAATTCCTCCTTTCTACATGGGCACTTATAGCGACCACACTGTCCCAAGATGACTGATTTAGCTAGCATCCAGCAAAAGTAAAGGAAGAATGCATTGCTGGTGTGGCCGTCAGGATCCATGTGTGGGAAGCAAAGGCATTAGTGTTAAGAGATGAGGGTGAGGATGATTTTCAATTTCAAGAAGTTACATCCCTTATAAGCATTCCACTAACGGGTTTCTACTGCTTATTACTATTGAACAGACAGCATAATTCAAGAATTCAATCTCCTCCAAATCACAATAGGAAGCCCGCTAGACTAACTCTAGTCCAACCTGTCCAGTATGTACCATCCAGGGCTGAAATCCTTGGCAACGACTCCAGCCCTGACTCCGTGCCAAGATAGTAAGGGCCGGTGCTGTCTCTCCCATCTTCAGAGCGGGAATTAAACCCTCTAATTGTGTGCAAGGGTAAGAAGATGTTGAAAAACGGAAACACAGTGGGCCAACATACACACAGTGACTGTCACTCATCAGGTGGAAAATTAGGTTTCTGGTGTAAAATAAATTACTGTTTACTTAACAGCGCCACTGAAGTACTGTTTACTCAGGAACTATTACAATGCAAAAGCAATCTGATCCTTTCAGGGTTAAAGAGGAAACAACCATCTCGCTGTTAGAATTTTTCAGTGCTTAAAGCATAACTACGCCCTCTTTTGGAGAACTTGGAAAGGGTAGAAGATGAACCAAAACATGCTGCATACACACATTTCAAAAAAAAAAGGTCTAGTTCAGTGAAGTTTGAATTAAATGTTTGGGGAAAAAAAAGATAAATAAATCCAAAATACTTAGTATACTTTGAAAATGACAACATTTATTACAACACATTTAGATAAAAATATGTGCTTGTAACTTAATTTATAAGATTACCCCTCCTCGGGTTTTATTGTGTACTGAACCCAGTTCAAAGAAATCTCCTTTGATAGTAGTCTATCATAGGATATACACTGCTTAAAATCATTGGATTTTGTCATCGCTATGGAAAACAAAAGCAACTGAATACATTTAAAGTTTTCCAAGTGACTGTTAGTATTTCTGACACAATAAATACACACAAAGTGCAAAACAACCCTTTAAAAAAAACAGGAATTGATCAAAATTCTTTCAAAGTAGTAGTCAAGGGCTAGGGATGTGGTTCCGTGGCAGAGCACTTGCCTAATGCGTCCTAGGCTCCGGGTTCTATCGCCAGGACCACAAAAAAAAAAAAAGGAGTTAAGAGCACAACTCTTCACTACCCACTTTAACATACAGGAAATATGCACTATAATATGTCATAAACTTTAAAACAGTTTAAGGATTTAGTAATAAAATTGATTAAATCAGAGAAATCAGCTACTAATTTCGTGTGTTATTCATACGCTGTCACGGTACCCTTGACTGCTTTCCTAAAACCTGAGTGTATCTTAACCAAAGAGTAGTTCACTCTCCAGTGATCCTGAAAGAAACTGAGATCACTTTCTCCACACACCAACTTTACTCTTCTCACACTGCCATTTAAGTGCATATATATTATTCCGACTGTTGGTCCATATTTTAGAAAAGTGATCTAAAATGTATCGCACTTTTCAAAAAGAGAGCAGCTATAAATAACTCCAACGACTAAAGTATTTGACACTTTTAAAAATTGAGCATCTGTCCAGAGGGCACCGTTTCCAAGGACTAGCTTTTTAAAATGCACAGTTCTATGGCTACGTGCTTTAAAAGAAAAAGCAAACGTTTAGAAACTGCTGAAAACTACTCTGGCCAGCTCACCATCCAGGTGCGCAACGCTGAGCCTGTCTGCTGATCTTTTCCTGCCATAAAACTGTGCTTCTGGGTTCAAAACGCTAGGCTGCAGGGCCTGCCACCTGCTCGCCCAGTCATCTGCACGACCTCCTGTGGCCCCAGGCTTCCCGGAGCCGGAGGAGGCAGGGGCTGCAGCACCCCGGGTCCCGCCAGGCTCAGCCCGGCCGGAGCTCGGCGCCGGCCGGATCGCGGCCGGAGTTTGGAAGGCGCGCTTCATTTCGGGTCGCAGGCTCAAGTCCGAGAGGCCCAGCCCGGACCCGGCGTCTCCCGGCTGTCGCCGCCGGCGCCGCGCAGGCTGGGGAGCCCCGCGCCCCGGGTCGAGGGAGCCGCAAGGGTAGCGCGGGGCTCCGGGCTCACGCGGGCTCGGCCCTCACCCCGAAGTTGGTCCCTCACCAGGGTCCCCCCCTCACCCCTGGCCCCTGCAGCACCCCCAACCGGACACTCACCGACTCCACTCGGCGACGCGCAGGGCGCGCTGGGCTCCGCGGACCACAGGACCCTTCTCCTCGGACGGGACAGGCGACAGCGGTGACGAGGCGACTCGGGCGGCGACGGCAGCGAAGTTACAGTTGAGGTTTAAAAACTGCAGCCGCGTCTGAGGAGGGGCGGCCGGACAGGCCACGCCCACGCCCGAGAGAGCCAATCCCGGGGCTCGAGGAGGGCGCGGCTGTCACGTGGCGGGCGGAGCGGGGCGCGGGCGGGCGCCCTGCGGGGGCGTGGCAGGGCGAAGGGGGTGTGGCTGTGGCCGACGCCCCGCCCAGCCGCCCTCGACTGTCCGGCGTAGGACTGCCTGGAACAGGTGGGACGCGCGGGTGGGCGGGGACTGGGCAGGGCCGGGCCAGGGAGGGGCGGGGCCTCGGGCCTCCCCTCTGTGTGGGACCCTCGCGAGAGGGAAGGAGCAAAACTCCCCAACTGCTTTCCACAGGGAACCCAACCTGCGTATCCCGGTGGTCTCCCCCGTGCCCTGCGCCTGCCCCAGTGCACGGTCCAGTTGCTCTTGGGCAGAAGCCTCTGGACTGTCATCGTCCCTGGGGGCTAGTACCGAAGTCCACTCAGAGTCGCCGCCCCGAGGCTGGGCTGCAGGCAGATGGGGACAGGGTCAGGGATGCTAAGGACCAAGACCAAACCTGCTCAGTATCGCTGCCATCTTAAAACAAGGGAAAAGCCTAAAGATCTGGGCCAGATACATTTGCATGTGGTATGTACAGCATACGTAGATAGATGGTCCTGGATTATCGTGTATACACATGTACGTCATCTAGGATTGGTTGCAGAGTGTATTTTCAATTATTGTGTTTAAAAAAGACTACTGGGAAAAGACATCGGGAGTGGAGTCATCCTCTTTTAAGACTTTAATGCTCAGTCGCCATTTTAAAGAGATTCCTTGTTAGACCACACTAAGCCAAGCAAGTTCCCACCAAGCCATCGGTTTGCTTCTCCACAGTGTGTTTTTCCCCAGACAAATAGATCGGGAGCATCGAGGCCATCTAATGCAGCTCTGAGTCCTTGCAGCCTAAGGTGTCTCCCGCAAGTCTTGTTGGGCAGAGAGCCTGGCTTGCAGCACTGTCATTTCTTGTTGCTAACAAGGTGACTCAGGAGCTACAAACCAAGGAGACCTTTCCCATCTCCTCTGTCATAAACACAAAGGGCTTGGCACCAGCCTGTCACTAGGAACCTGTTGGGCCTTGCGAGATTGGACCCTGTTGTGTGTGTGTGACTCTGTGTGTGTGTGTGTGTGTGTGACTCTGGACCCCCGAATCACAAAGTTGAATGAGTCTCCAGACCGTAGCAGTCCTCTTACACTCAACCATCTTCCCTCTGTCACCAACCCAGTCCCCTGTGACACCTAGACACCCGACTTTTCTCTTTCCATCACTGCTATAAACCAATTCTTTGCTCTAACCAGCCAGCCTTCCATGGGTCTTTTCATGTCTTGCATTTTCCTTTTTATTACCTTTTTATTTTTATTAATATATGTTTGCAGAGCATAGTGATTCCATTCATTGTGGGGTGTTGGTGCATGCACATAACACATTTAATTCTTTTTACCTAGGTTCCCTTCCCAGCCCACTCCTCCTGTCTCCTTCTATCTCTTGGTCCACTTTCCATTTGCAAAAGATCTCCCTATTTCCTACTATCTGTCTTTTAATTTATTTATACTTTGAGTTTCTCATACAAGAGAAACCATGTGATATTTAAGTGTGCTCTCCCGAAACACCCAGCTCCCTTTGCTTGGTCTCACCACTGTGGTTCAGTTAACAAGGAATTCAGGTTTTAAGGTTGAGACTTTGGCTCCCACTTTTCTTTCTCTCATGAGAAAGCTCAAGACTCAACGCTGTCCTCCCTTCTACCTCATATGCCTGCGCACCTTCAAGCCCTGTCAGAACGCATGTCCTTCCTCTCGTTACCTTCAGCGGCAAGTCCCCGTGTATACTGAGAGTCCAACCCCATAGCCCATGAAGCTCATTGTTCCGAGCTGCATTTGACCAGGGATGGTGGCCGCGGACCACGGATAACCAAGGGTGGGTGTGGACCAAAGTGCACCCCCACCGTATGCCAAAGTCCTAACACTAGCACCTCAGAACAGGACTGCCCTTGGACATACAGCCTTTAAAGAGGCGATTAAAGATGAGGTCATATGTCTCCAAGATGACTGGAGTCCTTGTAAGAAGAAGAGCTTGGGACACAGACACTAGAGAGATGGTCATGTGACCACATGGTGTAAACGCAGTGATCTGTGAGCCAGAAAGAAGAGACTAAATCTGACACCTTGACTGTAGGACATCTGGTTTCCGGAACTCTGAGAAACCAAATTTCTGTTGCTGTTGAAGCCCCACAGGCTAATAACGGTGATCTTCACCAGGCACAGCAGGTAAGTCATCAGAAGCTAAGAGTGGTTTCCCTCCTGGCCACTCGAGTGAGCCTCCACCTGTGGCCATGTCTGATCATGCTGCCATCCCCATGGCTTGTTCGGGAAAGATGACCTTTCCAAGTCCTGCCAGGCCAGCCTCCACATGTTGACTGGAAGGTCATTCTCCCTGACCACATGACAGCTCCTCACAGAGATAAAGGAGGGTGGAATGTTGCACACGAAGAAGGCTTCACACTCCAAACCCTGCCACTGATGCCTCCTCCTCCTCAAGAAGAAAGCCTAGCAGTTCTTTTTGATGTTAAGATAGTTCAGTCTTCATGGGAAGAGCAAATCCAGCATCACTGCCTGTCTACAGCTGAGGAGCCAGATCTATGTGGCCAGCCTGAAGCGTCCCACAGTGCTGCAGAGGCCCAGCTCAGCTCGATCCAAGAGAGCTTGCCCTGAAGGGAAGCAAAACCCTCAGGAGACCACCTCTGGAGGTGGGGGGGCTGGTGCACTGGAGTGGAGCGCAGTCACCTACGTGCCTTTAGGTCATGCATCCCATTGTGGGAAGCATTGAGAACCAGAGTCTAGACCCTCACATCCCGGCTCTCTTAAAGCAACCCTGTTAGTGAGGTAATTGGGGCAAGTCTTTCCCGACGAGAACAGTGACTCAGATGGGTACAGGTGTCTTCCGCAAAGGGTGACACAATTCTTTTCCACAAAACACCCATGACCGACTCTGCCGCTGTGCCAACCCACCCACCCACCACAGTGATCAACCCTGACCTCCAAAGCTGTCCAAGAGAAATGCCATGTACGACAGTCCTTTAAAATTCTCTGGGAACCATATTTTAAAATACAAAAACAAGTGAAATGAACTTTAATGATGTATTTGGTTGAACTCAATTTATACAAAATATTCTCATCTTAATATGCAATGTAAATTATTGAGGTATTTTACTTCCTCTCTGATACTGTTTTAAATCTAGTATTTTACACTTACCGCACTTCCCAGTTCAGATGCTAACTTTTCATTTAAGCACTTCATCTTTACTTAGAGTTTACAACATTTACCATTAAGAAAAGCAGATTCACTTCTTTAAATTGTTTCAAATATACAAAGGGCTTTCAATAACTGAATACAGTATCGGTTTATTATTTAAACTTAATTTAAAAGAAAGAAAATTCATTCACAGGAGCCACATTTCCAGGGCTGCATAGCCGCGTTGTGTGGCCTACTGGACAGTGTACAGGGCTGGGCCTGTGTCCTGGGTGGTGTCTGAACCTCTGATTGTTTGGTGAGTGCTGGAGGCAAAGTAGGTTTTCAATAGATCATAGCACCAGAGCTGTTTGGAACTTCAAAAATCCTTCAGGTCCCCTGTTGTAGAGGGGTGGAAACCTAGAGGAGACGGTAGAAACTTGAAAAAGATCACACATCTGAACCAGTTGCTGCTTGCGGGACAATAATTTCTGCTATTGATTCAGAACCCAGAGAAATGTTCACCTCCTTACATCAAACATACTGTAAGAAAATATAATTTTTAAATGTGTTTAAATAGTCCCTGACATGGGCAAGAGGAGGCAAGCCTATGTCCTAATTGCATTCGCACAGCCGGACAAAGGGCAGAGCGCCATGTTAAGCTCCTGACTCCTTGAAGCTTGGGGTCTGTGTAGTTGAATCCGCTGGTGCCTCCTTCTCAGCCCCTTGCTGCTCCCTCTCCTGAGAACCCCTGGCCGGACTGAGACCCCTCGCACCCTGGAGCACCTGGCCCCGTTTCCTCTCTGCAGCCCTCCTTTCCGCTGTCCACCGCGATTTGTTTAAGGTTGTGCTTCAGAGAATCTTCTCCATTTGCAAGCCAAAATGTTCAGCAGGAGCTGCAGCAAACAGAGCTCTGTGCTCCGAACACAAACACCCCGGCCTGCTGTCCCGCCTCAGCGAGGGTGAGAGGGAGGAGGGTGACGTGGGGCTGTGTGTGTGACCTCAGACAGTCTTGCCTTCACAACCCCGTTCTGCCCCGTCTACGACTCTGGGAAATCCTCACCTTTCTTATCTGTAAACTGGGGATATGGGACTGGTGGCCCACGAGACTGAAGTGGGCCAAGGCACATGAGGGAGAGTGCCTGACTGGACAGGACTCTGGTTGACAGGGTCTGCAGGCTCCCTTTAGGGAAGGCTGCCAGCTCTGGCCCACGCTGCTCCCCCTGACTGGCATCATGCTGGGGCCTAGTAGGTCCTAGGTAAACACTCCCCGATGACTCAGAAGATCCTGGGAGGGACCCTGGGAAAGATATGGTGGAGTCACTGGCAAGGATCAGGGCGAGGGAGGCAACTGCTTTCTCTTTCAGCGGAGACTCAGGTTCAGAAGGAAGCTCGAAGGTCAGCAAACAATGAACTCCAGGGATCTCTGCGAGATAGGAAAACTGGTTCCCAAGGTTCCAGGGAGACAGATGTGGACCGGAGTGAAGCCACACATTTGGGGCACAAAACTGTCGTTGCTCGGATGTAAGCAGGCGATGCCCACTGTGGCTCCCCAGCCAGTGTCCCCCACTCTGCATCCCGGGGACCCCCTCACCCAGCCCCACACACTGAACCAGGACCCGGTGTGTTCCCCAGAACACGGGGCCAGTAAGAGTTGGCTAAGCTTCCAGGAGCCTCTCACTGAGTGAGTCCTTTTACAGCAGGCAATAGCAGGGAAGATAAGCCAGAGCTCACGCTCAGCCCCACTAGCTCACCTGCTCGGAGGGATCTTCACCTCACCTGGC